TATGCCAGTTATAATGTTATTGTAATCATATTATCTAATGACCTATTACATGAATCTTTGAAATCAAAAAAGATAAAACATTCAAGGAAAAAAAGTTGAGTGCTTTGGAAAGACTCAAAAGTGAACTCCTGGCCGGGCGCTGTGGCTCACGCCTGTAATCCTAGCTCTTGGGAGGCCGAGGCGGGCGGATTGCTCAAGGTCAGGAGTTCAAAACCAGCCTGAGCAAGAGCGAGACCCCGTCTCTACTATAAATAGAAAGAAATTAATTGGCCAACTGATATATATATATATAAAAAAATTAGCCGGGCATGGTGGCGCATGCCTGTAGTCCCAGCTACCCGGGAGGCTGAGGCAGAAGGATCACTCGAGCCCAGGAGTTTGAGGTTGCTGTGAGCTAGGCTAATGCCACGGCACTCACTCTAGCCTAGGCAACAAAGCGAGACTCTGTCTCAAAAAAAAAATAATAATAATAATAATAATGCGGATTCCTAAAAGTAAAAATTAAAGATAAGACATAAAGAGAAACAAGGCATTAAATCACATTTGGGGAAATAATTCTGTTTAAAATGAAAGATTTCTAAATGAAAGGAGAAACCTGTAACAGATTTGTGGTTATTTTCCTATAAATATAAAATCTAGACATTATAACAAGAAAGCTATTTGCAAAAGGAGCAGGAAAATATCATTTGGTATCTCAAATAGCCTTAGAACCAAATGAGAACGATAGTGCTAGATGTGAATGACTCTAGAAAAAAGTTCCTCAGATCAACCAAAAAACATATATATAAATTCAATGAAATTTATCTTTTTTAGAAATTCCCCAGGAAAAGATGCTTATGAGAACTAAGCAAGTAGAGTTTACAGCTAAATTTCCTTCCAGCATGAAATCCTGAACTCAGGTAATTGTGACTACTGGCCCTTATTCTTTTCTTGCCACATTTGAGGCAAGCATTAATGTTTTTTCATTTTTATACCATTTCTGCTGCAACAGAAATATGTACATGATATAAAAGTTAAAGATACAGAAAATGAAGTAAAAAAATTAGAAATTAAAAGAACAATTTTATAGGCAGAGAGTTATACATACAAGTATAATATAGTGGAGTAACAGAATATGTCCCTTTTCTACTAATAAGAAACAATATCTGGCTATGTAAATACATTAACTCCAACCTGGTAAATCACTCTCGGACCTTAGCTGAAAGTCAAAACTTTATAAACAGCAATATAACTGGAAGAAATGTAAACCAAGCTGGGCACAGTGGCACATGCATGTGATCCCAGCTACTTGGGAGGCTGAGGCAGGAGGATGGCTTGAGCCCAGGAGTTTGAGGGTTGCTGTGAGCTAGGCTGATGCTCTAGCCTGGGCAACAGAGTGAGACTCTGTCTTAAAAAAAAAAAAAAAAAAGACACCATCTGAGGGATGGTCATGCTGGAAACTCAGACTTGTGGGGGGAGGGGGGAAAGGGCATTTATTGAAACCTTAAAATCTGTACCCCCATAATATGCCGAAATAAA